TCGCTTGAATTGATAAAAAGAAATTATGAAGTGGAAAACTAATATTTTTCGCTAAACTTGAAATTTTCATGACGTGTAAACTGGTTCAAGAAAATTTTATCGGAAAAAATTTTTTATGAATTTTTCGCTTTTCTTGAGAGCTGTATACAAATTATAAAAAAAAAACTTTTTTACAGACTTCAATTTTCTTCCATGATTCCGATACGTTGACTTAAAAAGGAGATACGCAATTGCAAAGATGAAAAAAATATTTTTCCTGTGTTATTTAAATTGAAAGTAGAAATTCGCTATGAGGTACCACTTAATCTTAATATTAGGGGCTGCGCTTTTGACGGGCGCATATTTTCACTGTCCCGAAAATATTTCCCAATCTTCTCTGCCTAATTTCAAAAGAGGCCTGTTTCCACCACTCTCTAACCTTCGAATGGTAAGTTTCGACAATTCTGCCTTTCAAATGTTCAATTTCAATCAAATTTCTTGAAATCGTTCAAACCAGGGACCGAGAACAAAAGGTATGATCGAAACTAAATTTCGTTTTCATAGAGAACATTCTCAATGGGAATTATGTAAGAGCAAAACCCTGTGGAACTTTTTCAAAGAGAACAAATTTCGAAGTTTTGGAAACGGGAACAAAAGTCTAAGGATCTTTCTCTCGAAGAACAATTTGGAAACTAAACTCTCAGGAACTTTCCTACAGATAACGAAACGGGGACAAATATCTCTGAAGTATTCGCGAAGAATGGAAGCGGGAACAACATTTTTAACATAGCCTTCATTAGTTTGAAATGTTTGAAATATTAAAATTAATCAAAAAAGAACCGAAATATAATTCTGCCAATTAAGTAAACGAAAGACTTAAGACACGAACTTTTCTTGCACAAAAAAAAATGAAAAAGTGTTCCATAAATGGACAGTCTACCCTAATGATAAACAATCTGGAAGTTGAAATGATCCAGATTTCCCGTGACTTATAATAAACAATCAACCACTGAAACGATTTTTCATGCCAACACGCAGACTCCCCTCTCATTCTTAAACTTTTTTTCTCGTTTTGTTCTCTAGCACAACATTCCCCAGACTTTTATTCTTATTTGATCCTCCTTGAAAAAGTACTCGATACTTTCGTTCTCATTGGAAACTTTCCCGAAAGCTTCGTTCTCATTTTGTTCATTTTGGAAAATTTTCCGAAAGTTTCGTTCTGATTCTATTCTTCTTAAGAACGTAATGGTAAAGTCCAT